GAATTAATCTATGGATATAACAATAAATCATTGTGAGTGAGTTTAATACTATGTCCATTTAACAGAATGGTAGTAGTAGGATGTCTTCTAAGATTTCTGAGCCATCGTGCCACAGGTTCTTAGCTCCATTAGTAGTGCAAACTTTGAGTTCCATCTTGTAAAGCAAGTCTTAAGTACAATCAGAAAGTGATGTGACATCCAAGTCATGATTGCACCATTGGGCATGTCTTGCCAGGCCAGTAGGTTTGTTTGTTTGTTTGTTTGTTTTGTTTTTGTTGGTTCTTTTGTTTTCAGACTCACACCAGATTGATTTCGCCATATTCTGTGACCCACAAATGGAGGAATTCAGTGTGTTCAGCGATTATTCTTACCATAAAGTTCTGGAAGGTAACCAAGAGCAATGGCAGTAGCCTATAATGTGTATGTGGTTGTCAGGGGGGGCAGTCTATAGGACCCACTGGCCTCTAAGTCCAAAGAAGTAAACTGTTCCTGGCACTGGTGATAACTTATAGGGACATTGCTGGTGATAACTTATAGGGACATTGTCATCCCTTTATAAGGTAATTCTATTTAAATTCTTTTTATATGTATATATTTCAGGAAACTTCTACAATAAGTAGGTTTCTATATGAATTTTCAAAAAAGGCTTTATTGTTCTTGTGAGTATGTATCCTGCTTTCTGGCTCTGTCATCCACCCAGCTGCTGTCTTAGACCTCACCTTCTTCTGGTACTTTCAACTTTATAAGCATCATAGAAGTTGCATGTACAAGTGTGGAGGCCATCAAATCTTGAAAATTGCCTACCACTAATGACACAGAAATATTTAGTTTCATTTCATGGCAATGGCTGCAAATCGACTCTCAGATAACATCTCAAGTCTACGTTAAGTCTATGTACTGTATTTTCATGTCAGTTACAGTACCCCATTTGGTACAGAGTCTCAGTCACCACCTCTACAACATAGACTGCAAATTTCTTTAGGTTATACTAGTAATTGGTGAGATGTTCATGTATGAGAATACCTCTTGGCATTTAAAGAGCAATAATAATAATTATTATTATTTATATTTTCCTGTATAAATGTATGTTTTAGGGCTTCTGACTTTTAGTATGTCTAACCTAAAGCTTGGGAGAAAATAGGAACTTAGTAAATATTGTATTAGTTAATGAAATCAACTTGGAAAGGGGTCATTATATGGCACCAAAATAACAAGGAAAAACAAATAAACCTTAACCAATGTCTGAATTTGTCTCTTGCTATTGCAGAAAAAACATAGGCTTAGTTTTTCAAAATGTACAAACATCTATATTTCCAAGGATGTTCTTTAAATGATAGAATTTCTTCTATAATTTAAATATAGAATATTTGTAAAGAAACTAGATCATGTTTCTGAATATGCTTGCAACAAGGTATTTGCTGACCAGATGTCTCTGATTTACATTCAAAAGACACTGGGCTTTTGTATTTTTGTGCGTTGTACTGGATCCGCATTTGGTAACTCCAAATTTACATTGCAATTACTTTAAAAGCGCACACATTAGGATACAATGAACTCCAACTTGGCAGTTGGTGAAG